ACGCATACGTCTAGTTGCACGCACACAAACACCGTGCCGAAGTCTGCCGAACTGAAACGACAAAATGAACTCACTATTCTACTTAGTGTTACCGAAAATCCAAACACCAGTACACGCATCATGGAAAATGAAACGAGAATAAGTATATCATCTGTCAATAGGACACTATTAAAAAATAAAGTACATCCATACCATATCCAACGTCATCAGGAGCTTCTTGAAAACGATTTTCAAAAACGAATAGCTTTTTGTGAATGGGCATTAATAATGAAAATAATTTTTTTGATTGTGTACTTTTTGGGGATGAATCTACATTTCACAAAAACGGTTTCATCACTTTTCCACCACCAATCCTTATGAGTTAATGACAAATAGCCAAACACGATGGTCTATTAACGTTTGGGGTGGTATATTAGGGGACTACGTCATAGGACCACATTTCTTTCATGGTCGTGTAACTGCCGAGGTCTACTTAGATTTTCTCCAGAATCATCTCTACCACTACTATTGGAAAATGTTCCACTATATATAAGACGCCAAATGTGGATATTACATGATGGAGCTCCTGTACATCATGCTCAACCAGTTCGCAACTTTATGAATCATAATTTTGAAAACAGGTGGATTGGAAGAGATGGTCCCGTTATGTGGCCTCGCAGGTCCCCTGACCTCAATAAAGTAGATTTTTTGTGGGGTTTCGTAAAAAACGAGGTTTATAAAACTAGTCCATAACTAGCGAGGAAATGAAGGAAAGAATTAATAAGACAAGTGTTCGCGAGCATAGATGTATTGCAGTTGGAGGGAGTCACTTTGAGTAGCTTTTATAATTTTATTTTTGGTTCATATTTTTTTTAATTCAAATATAAAATATCTTCTAAACTATTGTGTTTAGGGATAGGGACAAACGAACGTATAATTAAAGTACTTTTAGTAGAGATATGAAATACATGGTGAACCTAACCGTAAAAGTAAAGAAAGTAAATTCAGTTGATAATAAATTGTAGCTAGGTACCTTATTAAACAGTATATATGATTAAACAGTATATTTTAACAGGAGTTTAAATCAAATTACATTGTGAATTTAGTTATAATTAACCCTTTTTGACATTTCATCTAAGAATCTCGCTAAACTGTTGTGTTTAGGGATAGGCAATATTTAACTCAAACGAACGTATAATTAGAGTACTTTTTAGTAGTGATATGAAATACAGGGTGTTACATTTAAAAACATTGAGAAAATCATGTATCTGAGTTTTGACTCACCCTGTTCACATCTGTTGCGCTAGGAAAAAATTAGTATATAATAAAAGTAGACTATCATTAAAAATGATCAAAAAATTTTGATGTTCAATTGTTTCTTTTGAAATATACAGATGGTTGAACCTAGTACGATTTTCATATAAATTTGGTTTAAACTTCCAAAATACCCATTATAACCTCATACATGTTGGTATTTTCTTGAAGGGCAAAGTCAGGGGAATTCAAATTTACAATTAAATAAGGGTGGTCCATTTAAAAAAATATAGGTTTGATCAATTCTGAAGTTATGGATCACTCTGTATAATCGAAAATAATTTTGAAATGTGCAGATTAATATTATCTACAACTTTTGTAAATAACATTGATATTTTCTATAATATAGGATATATCGAACTTCCACACACTATTGGGACACCCTGTATATATTTATTTGTAATATATATTTATATTATGCGAAAACAAAAATTAGACAAAGTACTCAAAGTTACATCAGCGATGCAGTTACATATACAAGGAACATGCCAGAAGGAAAACGTATTAGCTATTATGGACTATGCTTATGCACTGAAACGTAAAAAAGGTAGGTACCCTATGTACTATAGATTTGGATGTGAAATGATCAGATTTTTTCTAATGCACTAACATGTGCATATCGTTAAAAAAAGGTTTTTATCAGAACTAAAATAAATTTTTGAGTAAATATATTCGAATTAAATTATATAATAGTTAAATATCATAAAAACATAATATGTCTGAGGTTCAACTTTACATTTACACTACTACGGTGTTTACAGTAAACATATTGTTTTCATCCTGTCGCTGCACAATGTAATCAATTGTTATATTATTTTTTACACTGTTTTAATAAATTTTTACATCTTTAATTATGTTTTCATATATTTATAATCAATTTTCAAATTATTTTTAGACTGTTTTATTAAATTTGTACTATATCTATAATCAGACATATGTTTTCATCCTGTCGGCGACCTCTAATACGTGTATAAGAAACCATCTCGTCTGCTTTCAAATGTAGGGTGAACAAAGTTGCAATTAATTTAATAATGAATGATATTTTCAGAATAATACCTACTTTAAAATCTTCTTGCCATTAGCCTTTAATTTAATATAAACAAAGTGTGATCCGAATTCAGCTCGGAGGCCGTACCCTAACCCAAAATGTTTAAAATAAACCATTCACACAATATTTCTCTTTATAATTCAAATTTAAAGTAATTTATTTGAAATTTGACGGAAATCATTACATGATTTTTTCTTTGTTTTATAGCTCATCTTTCAAAAAATCAAACTACCGATATTATACACTGGCGAGCAAAAAATTGAGGTCACCTTAAAATTTTCATGTTCTTTGAAATTTTACGTTTTCAGATCGTATTCGCAAACTGTACATTATTGCATGTGCTTTTGTAAGCTGAATGTGATACTCTACTAAACAGAAATGCATTTTTTTCTAATACTATTATGTCCTTATCAATATTGACGCTAAAATTATTCACAATTTCTGAAGTGACCTCAATTTTTTGCTCGCCAGTGTAAAAACTAACACTAGAACAGTTTAAAAATAACTACATAAACACCACTAAACAAGAAAATATTAGATTTTTAAAAAACGAATGTATTACCCCAAGTAGAATATTTTCTGATGACTCACTTTCTTCCTGCGACATCACTGCGTTCTTACCTTACCTGCTATCAATCGGACGTCACTTTCATCCCCAAGGATTGGGCGCCCACCTTAAAACGACGCATTTAAATTTAGGACAGTTTATGAATTTTACACTCAAAAACAACCCATATATATACACAGGGTGTTTCAAAAAGGTATGTCATAAATTCATCCTCAGATACATTACCAAAAAATAAGTGGATTTAGCTATATTTATCTATATCAAAAACTGGCTCCCAACAAAGTTACAGGGTGTTAAACTAACATTCAGTTTTTTTTTTGTAAAAAGTTTGCTGCTGCCATTTTTTTTTTTCGAAATGTTTGCCAGTGCTGTAGGTTTGAAGGCCCAATATTCTAAGGAGAAAAAAAATTTAAAGCGACCCCTTTAAAAAAAGTTAGGGGTTGGGTACCTTTTAACCCCCCCCCGTATTTTTTTTTTGACATAAAGAAACTTTATCGATCTTAAAGTCAAAAAGAACTATGAATTTTTAAATTTTTTTTTTATAGCGAAATGAACTTTGTATCTTTCTTAGTTAACGAGCTATTTACAATTTTTTAACTGAATTTCTAGAGCAATTCGTCCGTCCTGGACTTAACATATCAACAAAACTAAGAATAGGTCAGGAGTTATTGAACAAAAAACGCATATAAAAATCAGTGGTGTGTCTAGGGCTGTGCTTGAGCCGCCCCTGCAAAAACTACCTCTTTTATTTATATTTTTGTATTCAATAAAGAGGAGGACATGTTGAATATTTACTAAATTAAATAGTTTATAAAATATGTATAATGATTATTACCAAATGTTTATTATTAATTTTTTGTTAATTTATTTTAATAATTTTTTTTCGTGGTTCCTTTGGTCCTAAGCAGAAAGCGATCGCAATTGGGTAATCTTCATCCATCACTAATGTACACGACAAATGAAAGCTCAAAACTGATCGTCTAAAACGACATCGTTTCCACAAATGAAGTCACAACTAAACTGAGAACTGATATGACTGTCTAAAAGGACCTTAACAATAGTTCTCTTAAAGTTTAGTACCTATCCAAAGTGGGATTCTGTCATTTTATAGTGGCTTAATGTTTAAAATATACCTAATCCAAAGTGCGTTTTATAGTGGGTAAGTTTAAAGTTTGGGTATACTGAATCCAAAGTACGATTGTATCATTTATAGTGTGTAAGCTTAACGCTGAATTTAGACTAATGCAAAGATCGATTCTGTCATTTTATAGTTTGTTATTACAATACCCCCTTAAGTTTTATAATTTATAAATCGTAAGTGTTTAAATGTAGAATGGTCATGTTGAACCAACTTAAAAGGATGAAGAATTAAATGATAAACTTAGAGTGTTAGTGATTGGATTGATTCTACAGATTGATTCTTAAGATGATACTTCTTTTTTAACCGTATAGAGGTTGGCGGATTTCTAACAGTTGAATCCCCCACGAATATGGCGGATTTCTAACAGTTGAATCCCCCACAAATATTAATTACGGCCCTAAGGAACACTTACCAAAATGAACTGTCTCCTGTAGACGCTGGCTGCAACCATCTCCATGTGGACAATGAAAGCTCAACATGTTGTAAAACACTATTGTGCACAAACGCTTCACGACAAACTTTGTACATATTTACATTTTCACTTAACTATACAACTACTGCTTACATATTTTAGTACTAAGACTCTACATTCTATCGTTGCTCAGAGAACTTAGTATTCGTTGTGTATGTGAGAGACGACCCTTACTTCAAGAAGACTTGAATCGCTCTGCCGACTTTAAAATAACATATTCAAATAACTAAAAAAAAAAAAAAAAATATGAATAACAAACTTACATTAATTTATTCAAAATTGCGTCCATTCGCTTTTACATAACGCTCTGATCGAAAATAAGTTGTCTAATTGTTGCAATTAATTATTCCCGTGCGTTTACTATCGTCTTGTAAATTAAACTTTTCATAAACCCCCACAAGAAAAAATCACAAAGGATTAGGTTTGGTGTGGAACACATTATATAGAATGTATAAAAGATAATAGAAACAGTTCAAATCCTTAACAATAGACATATATTAACACTTACAATATAATACATCTGTCAAACCAACATTATACATTAGAAATTGACAATATCAATAATTACTCTATAAATATTACTTGTGTATGTATGAAGGCCTATATTCGATTGAGAGACTAACACTGGACAGGGCTACATGGCCTTGAACCTACTGTGAAATCTTTATACTGGGAGAAAACGCAGATCTGAAATACAAAAAATAAATAGTTTTAAATAGAAAAATAAATAGGTCAACCAACTTAGAATTTTATATTTTGCAATAATTTAATACCTTATCTTTTAGTTGCTGGCATAGCTGCAATCCAACTGTGAAAAGTACCAATACTTCATTTAGCCATGGTACTGAACACTCAGCAGGGGTTGGGTCAGGTGTCATGACACCCTGATTATTCATTAAATGGTACATTACAAATACTAGTTTGTGACTTTGGATGTAAAAACTTATTGCTAGGTCCTCTGCCAATGGCGGAGAAAGAGATTTCTAAAAAGAAAAACTACAGCTTTAAGAAGATCTACACTTAATAAATTTTAAGAGGCTGGTTGCAAAATCGCCGAATCATGCCAGTTTATTTTTTTTGCACCATTTCAGCCATCCCTCTGCTCTCCCCGAGGGATTTCGGCATACTTCCCCCAATCAGGCTTGAGTCCAGCCACTGGCTTCCCTCAATCAAGCTCGGGGTCCAGTCTGCTTACCCTTCTCTTTGGGGTTCACATAGCAGTACTGAAAAAGAGATTATGCCACCATTTGGATGACCCACTCCTTAGCCTCTTTGGCAGTTTATGATTTTAAGGTTACACCTTTTATCAAATTTAAGACCTTGGAATTATTCTTGATCCTATTTTTAGCTCTAATCAACACATATCTGCTGCTGTCCACAAATACATTCTTTATTGTTCGCTAGTCAGACCACTTTGCCTATTGCTCTTCCGTTTGGTTTCCACACTATATAACATATAGTAGGAAAATAGAGTGTTCAGCACAACTTTCTCAGGCATATATCTTTTAAATTGGGTGTTTATTGTGAATATGATTGCATGAAACTAAGCGAAAAAAGAGAGACCTTACTCTGCTATTTAATATTATAAATAGTAGATGTAATTGTCCAGAACTTCTTGAAAAAATTAATCATGTTCAAACTCGTTCAACTAGGCAACTGCAAACATTTTATGTACCTTTTTATAGATCTAACCAAGCTTTTAATAGCTGCATTACAAGAATGCTTAGATTAGCTAACTTAAACAATGATCTCAAGATGTTCAATATTCCCTTTTCATCATTTAAAACTCATTTACTTAATACTGAGCTTTAATGCTAATGTTTTGCTGTGTATTTTCTCTTTTTTACCCTTCAATTAACCTATTTTGTTATTTTAAATGTGTATACGGTGTCACATTTTGGATTAAGTACAAGTTTTTGTTCCACTAACAGGGAGTTAGGAATATAGTATTTACATTTGTATTGCTGTACCTACTCTGCAAAAAATAGATTTCCTGTGCCGTGTCACATGTAGTATATTCCCTATCTAACTTTATTAAAGAGACGTGTAGCAAAAGGGACTAGTGGCAGATGGGTGGGGTATAAAAAAATGCAAGTCTCCGCATGTTTGCAAAAATTTAACTTATGAAAAGTAGTTCAGGGTGGGTCGTTTTAAATGGAACATCTGTATATCAACATAGAGTAGAAAATATATATTTAAGTAATAGTAAAAAACTAAAATTTGATTTCAATATATGGAGTTGAAAAATATATAAAGTAATATTGAAAAAAGTAAGTTTTTAAAAAAATATGCTCTTACATACCATATTGCGACTTTTAAGCAGATCATATATTGTTTTCTTTCTTGGTACTATTAAACTAGTGCGTCCTCTTTGTAAGCTACCCAAAATATTTCCTAATACATGTAGTACCTCATCTGAAGATCTAAATAAAAAATTACATTGGAATAATCATCTCTGGAAATAAGGTTTGTCATTTATACAGGGTGCCCCATTGGTGCATAATTGACCTTTCCCATTATTCGACAATTTCGCATTACTCATGCAGGGAAAATTTCCAATTTTCCAAACATTTTCTGCTATCTCTTTCTTATCCTAGCTTTACAACGGTTGGATTGGCTACGACGATTACCCCATGTCATTACTTTAAACAACTGTTATCGATTCTATATAGGGAGCCAATAAAACCTTTTAGTACACATTTGCAGAAAGCTAAATTATAAATGTATCATTAATTCTTACCCTGAAGAAGATGAAAATACTTTGTTGCAATCGATCTGAAATGTCAGCAAGCATGAAGGGTACCTACTGAGAGCCGAATTTCAAGAAACTTTTTTCTTCTAACTTTTGATGTAAATAATATATGAAAGTTTCAAGTTGGCGCTTTTTCTGACAGCATTTTCTAAACAGGCTTTTTAAAAATGTTATCGTCGAGGGCTACATCGCAAACTATTTCCATGTTTTACAGGATAAAAATGAATGATATATTTGAAATAAAAGTTTACCTTTCACAAATAACACACCTAAAAGTGTCACTGGCTCTCTTGCAATTATTATCAAACTCAAAAACAAAATGACATTTGCGGATGTATAATTGGAACTCAGGGTAGGAAACATATCAACAATAAATTTTGATGATTTTAAGCGGAATTTGCATATGAGTAATAGAGATCATCAATAACGGGAAAGGTCCATTGTTCAATATTTCAATTTGTGTTATAGACACGCAAACAAGTTTTAAATAAAAGTTATATGGATTTGAAAAATCTCCTTGTATTTTATTTAATTTTTAGAATGGTTAGGTAACACTTTATGCAATCCTAGAATTTTTTTAAAAAATTATTACAGGGTTGCCAAGCAATTCATTTTTTTATGAAATTAGAGAATCATGCAGACCCCAAATTAAATTATCATAATTTAGGTAGATTTACAATTGAATTCAAAATTGTTTAATATACGGACTTATAAGATACTAAACTTACGAATAGTGATGATAAAACTAGTTTACTTTATATATTGTTTTAAAACATGTCTTATATATGGCTAATTTTAAGTTTAATTTACTAAATTTTTTCAAATGTAGATATCATTTTAGCATAAAATTCTTTATAAATTTACCTATCCAACGATACCAACACGTTAGGCAATAACACATATACAGGGTGTCCCATCTGTTAGTCTTTCTTTCTTTCTTGTATTTAGAGAAAAGTCTGCTATTTTCCTTTTTAAATCTTTTAATGATATTCTTTTTTATCTGAAAATAATTATCAAAATCATATACTATCCTTACTAATAACCTAAAGTATTAAGTGATACTGTAATATAAAGTATTAAGTGATACTACTGTAATAATTTTTACTGGATCTACATGGGATACTGTTAAATCTACCACTGAACATAACATGAAAAGCGTTTACAAATGGTTAAATAACAAACTTTCTCTAAACATGAAAAAAAATTAAATATATAACTTTTTCTCCTACCATTACAGATCAGCCTAAATTTTTTTATATTAAACTGCATAAACCATCTTGTGTTGTTGCCAATAATTGTGACTGTTTTATAATTGAAAAAACCAAATCTCTCAAGTACCTAGGAGTTATTGTTGATCAACATTTAAAATGGGTAGACCACATCAACTATGTTTCTAAATGACTAAGAATTTTAATACACAAATTTTATGAATTACGGGACATCCTAACGAGAAAAAATTTAATGATTTTGTACACAGCTCTTGCTGAATCTATAATTCAATACTCCATACCAGTATGGGGTGCAGCATTCAAATCAACTTTATCACCATTACAAATTTCACAAAATATTCTTCTTAAAATAATTTTTAGAAAGAGTAAGTATCATTCCAGAAATCTTTTATATCAAGAAACTAAATTACTAAATATTCACTTAATATATGTTTACAACTGCTTAACCAGGATGTTCCATGATTCATCAAAGTTCACTACCCTGAGTCATCAGAGGGATACTCGGTCAAAAACTAACTTTGATATTAAAACTGAACTTTTTCATAGAACTGCTACCCAACATTCCTTTATGTACTATGGACCTAAATTATTTAACAAGCTTCCAAAAAGCCTAAAACTAACAACACATTTTTTTTAACAGGTGAAAACGTTTATACAAAAAAATGCAGATATATTTAACCATCTTGATTTTGAGAATAATATTCCTCTTTATTCTTGAAGTGTACTACTCTTGGGCGACTCGCCCAGTATTTTCTTAGCAACAAAAAAAAAAGCACAACAAAAAACGGAAAATTTGTTTATTTTTAAATTTTGTAATTTTTTTTTGTCTTAACTTCTATACACTATATTCATTATATAAATAAGGAATGCTTATTCTATACAGAGTTTGGAGTCATGCAATGCAGTTCACGAAACAGACTTTCAAGCCTGATATGATGCTGCGTTTGTCTGACTTCCATTTGTATTTAATATTTTCATTCTATCATTATGTCATTTAACATTGTATAGAATATTGTAATGTATTTAAACTGAATAAATTGAATTGAATAACGTCTATAAAAATAAGACACCATCAGTACGTACTTGGTCGATAGTTGTTTTATTATTAGAAACACAAAGAAATTTTTAATACAAAAGTTGTATGATCATAGTTACCAATTATTCCTAAATATACAGGGTGTTTCATAAACGAGGTGCTGACCAAAGCTAGACCAAAGCACCCTACATATTTGTTTTCATATTGTCAAACAATTTTAATTGACTTCATTCGTTTGCTACGTTGTATATAGGGTGTGTCAAAACGGGAGGTTACGATTTTTTCAATTTTTTTAAAAGAATTACCTGGTATTAATAAACTGGTGGTATAATATATACAGGGCATTTCATTTAAAAAAATTAAGAATATCGCTCGGAAAATCGCAACCTCGTATTTTGGCTCACTCTATATACAACATAGCAAATGAATTAAATCTATTAAAATTTTTTGACGATGTGAAAACAATCAAATATGTATAACTATCTGCTTTAAAAAAGTATAGCTCTTCGGTCAGCACCTCGTTTATGGACCACCATGTATATTTAAGAATACTTGTTAAATATAGTCATACAACTTTATTCAAAATTTCTTCGTATTTCCAATAATAAAACAGCTATCGTGACTAATTACGTACTGTGTTATTGGCTAACATGTTGGTATCCTTGGATAGGTAAATTTATAAAAAATGTTATGCTAAAACAATATACAGGGTGTGGATTTTGAAAAAATTAAGTAAATTGAACTTAAAATTAGCCATATTTAAGACACGTTTCAAAACACTGTATAAAATATTCCAGTTCTATCACCACTATTCGTTAGCTTACTATCTTATGTCTGTATTTTAAACAATTTTTAAATAATTGTAAACCTACCTAAATTATGATAATTTAATTTGGGTTCTGCAGCATGCTCTAATTTCATAAAAAAATTAATTGCTTGGTAATCCTGTAATATTAAAAAAAAATCTAGGGTTGAATACAGTATTACCAAACCATTCTAAAACTGAAATAAAATACAGTGTGTTCAATTTAAAACATTTACATTTTTATTTGCCAGGCAAAAACACAAAAATATTTTTAAAATACGTACTTTTTTAAATTCATATAAACTTGAAATTTAAATAATTATGCACTAATGGGACATCCTGTATATAAAATTGTTTTATTATTGAATATTGAAATTAAATAATAACTAAATAATTTATACGCCAGTTTAGTGTGATGTCATTTTGGTTCCATTGGCATTTAATTCTAACCAAACTTTTTACAAAAACATCAATAAATTTGACATATACGTTCTTACTGTTTTAAGTTTTTTCTAAATATTGTTTGCAGGTCATAAAAAATATTTTAAAGGTGTGTGGTAACTAAATGATTGTATATTTGAAAAACTTTATCTACTTTTAGGAATATATTTATAAACGTGAAAAAACGATATAATTTAGGTAAACAAAATGAACAATGCAAAAATCTACAGTCACTTTAATTGTCAGTGGAACCATAATTACATCATCACTAAGATGGCGTATTGTAGCAGTTTTTAAAATCTGTTGTTTAAAAATTCTGAAATAATCTGTGTATGAACGCTAATATAAAAAATTTTAATAAAAATTATATGATGAGTAAAAATATACAGATAAGCTGTAATATATCAATCATTTTAAGACAAGTTCAAAAATTCCAGTGATAAGAAAAATAGTTAAAAAAATAGGCTAATACTAAATTCAAAATGTAATATATTAGTGTAAGTAAATATAGACATAATAAATACATTAATATAGAAGTCTTTATAATTTTTATTCATATTTTTGTATAATCCTTTATTTGTTATTAACAAATATTATTTGTAAATGTAAAGAGAAAATGACAAAATAATCATACTTGACATCTTTTATGCAGGCATAAATTATTTATTTATTTTTACTATTGTCAAAAGAATTTTAACCAATGGTAATTTTTCTCAGTACTGGTCAAAATAATTTACACAACCTGTACGATACAGAGCAACCCAGTATAATTTAAAGTATTTAAGATATCAATGTCAATTTTCATTGAACAGCTTTAATTTTTTTACATATATCCTTTTTAACTGTAACTTCTGGTTACATTGAAAATGAATATGACATATTTTAGTGAAAACCTGATATTGATAGTTATCTCAAAAACTTTTTAAGTTATAAGACTTTAAAATGGTTTCAAATATAACTTGATACCATAAAATATCTCTTGTAATTTTGTTTTTTTCTTACTTAAATTTGTAGTGTTTTCCTACATCGTCAATATGATAAATTGCTTGCTGTAAATGATTTGCAGCATCTTGAACTTGTTGTAGTTTCCATGGATACTCACTTTGAATTGTGGTACGTACCATAGTTGTTGTAGTTGCCCTCACCACTTTAAAATTAATGTCCTAAAAAATTCAAATAAGTACATAATGTATTGGTCTGTTTAATTACTAGTAATCAGTATCATTAAAAAGTATGAAAATATGACTTCTCTTACGAAAACAACTTTCTATTTCTTCTCCAAAATAATTGAAATTAAATTTAATACTTTAGCCATTGATTTGTTTTATCTTACTCTTTTTTTAATGTACCAGTACAAAAAATAATAGGATACACAAAGTAAAAAGCCATCAGTGTTGTTTAATACACACCCAGGAGTAGTTTAAATAAATTTAATTCTTAATCAGGCCCTGGTAACTACCTATATCCTCACATAAGATTTTTGTCAGCCTGGGGAAAAATAGTTCCAACACATATTTTTTTTTTGAACTGGCAAAAAAATGTAAATATTGCTCTTAGATAAGTAATATTAGACTATCCATAGAGCAATACCATACAATTTTTTTTTCGTAAAAGTTTATAATTTCATTGCATTTATTTTTCAAAATTTTAAAAAAGTTGGCGTCAGAAGCTTCTTTCGTTTGCTGTTGGTGCAGTGTCCACCAGTGTAAATCACACCAGTTACACCACCTTTATTTACCTAGTTTACTTCCTCCTAACGCCTGATACACATGTCGAGTGTAATTCAGTCCTCCTAAGTAGCTGGTGGAGAAAATATCCACCAGTGGACAATCCATTACTGACAGGAAGGCATAGTGGATTTTACGCCGGGCCAACTGAAAGATATGGTGTGCGTTGGTGTAGTTCATTCCTACACTAGTGGGATGAACGAAAGAACCTAGAGTGACATTTTATCTACTATCGGCTGTCATTTGAAAAACATCTAAAAAAATAGTGTTTATTTATTTATTTATTCACAGGCCTTGTCCACTTTAAGTAAAAAGTTACAAATAAAAACAAAAAAAAACCTCAAATAGAGTCAATCTAAATAATATGTCATAATATGTAATGAGAAACTAATAAACTAACAACAAAAATCATAAATATTTAAACATGTACAAAATGGAAACAACTAATATTAAGACTAGGGAAATCAAGTCACAGTAAGTTCTCACAAAATTAGAAAAGCTCGAATTAAAAAATTCTAGACTATCAGCACAAGCATTAGCACTTCGTGAAACTCTAGGCATAAATGAATTGAGGCCAGTATTAGATCTCATGTAGGGCTAATGAAAACTGTTTATTGATCTTGTGCTTCTAGTTGGAGCTAACAACATGCTTGAAATCAATGTAGGGCAGTCCACCATATAATTAATGAGCTTAAAAAATAATTTTAGATCTGCCTGATCTCTTCTTATTCTCAAAGTTGGTAAGGAGAATGTCATCTATCCGTGGAATATTTGATTTAAATACTAAGTTGGGAGGAAATTTTCTCTGAACCTGTTCTAATCTATGAATGTGACCAAGTATACTGGGGATTCCAGACTGAAGAGCAATATTCTAGCAGAGGCCTAACAAGACTACAGTACAATAACCTGATAGCATTGTAAAGTCTGATGCAAGTTTTGACATCAGAAAAATTGTATAAAATATGTCATAAACTGGCACATACAATGAAACAGCACGTGTAACCATTGTACTTAGATAGTCTAGCAGGAGGACAATGGACAATAGCAATATATGACAGCAAGCTCCATCATGTCCAAGTCATGTCTTTGATAATTTTGGTGTCTTCTACCGAACCATCGCATGGTTGTCAAAATTTAATAACGAACTTAATTTCTCCACTAATAGATGGACCGATAGTCAATTAAGTATAAACAGAATATTTGTTTTAAAAATGAGGTATATGAGTTTTATTATTTTTGATGTAAATTTATTTACGAATTATGATCATTGTAGAGAATATGACAATATTAATTTAAATTTGGCAATCTACCCAAATGAATTTAAAAATATTGAAAACTTTATGCATAGAATTCTATACTCAATGATCCAGGGAGTGCTAGCGCCTGGGCCATTTTTATGAAGTTCTGTACTTGTTCTAATAGATATTGTGACAGTATTACCTCCAATGAAAGTCCATAAGGTTGTTTTACTAGGCTATATACAATGCCTGTAGCTGTCAAGGGGTACTAGGCATATTTTTAAGTCTGACAGACTCATGATCCAGGTAGCAGTATTCATAGTAACACATGTCATGCACAAGCGCAGAATACGAGGCAACAACCTGGCTATGCTGAGCAGCATAGACTCCAACCGCCTTGACACAGCTCAAATAGAAATGATTACTACAAATATTTTCACTTCGGGAGCCAAGTTCACCTGCCAGCAATTGTCATATTCCAGTCATATATGTTTTCTTACTATGTTTGGCAACTCCACATTTATAGAAATAGAGATGTTATTTGTCATATTATCCATAAACAAATATTATTTCATATTATTTTTATTTCAGAATTTTAAAAACCAAAAAGTAAAGAATTGTAAACGTTTACGAAACAATTTTATAGGGTTTATTACTATATGATATGGATAGTCTAATATTGTTATTTAGTTGTTTGTACAACAAGAAATCAATTGAAATGATTTAATTCATATTTTTTTATGGTAGAGATTGGACAACACAATTTGATGATTTTAAGGTTAAAAACAATTTTTTAAGTGTCAGCGGACCCAAAATAGTTATATGCAGTGTATTTCAAAGCATCTTCAAGCTTTCTATAAAATTTCAATACTAATATATGCCGTTCATGTTTCATATAATCACTAATAACTTGAAACATTAAAAGCAAATTAAAATTAGATTACTTTATATCTATTTCAATTACTTTAAACTGTTATCAATAAAACCACAGCGACAATAGTTTACTCACTGCATGTGTAATACTGTCACCAGTGAGGGTAACCACGCACTTTAACTGGTCTGCGGGTACCGATAAAACAAATTTGTCTTGTTTTGCCGAATTATCATGTCCATATAAAGCGACTGGAAATCGCCTAGCGCACTCCTAGAATATTTAAAAGAAAAAAATTAATTTATTTTCATTATTGCATTTAATTACATACCACAAGAATTTGATGAATCTGTTCTAGACCTTTATGAACTTCTTGATTTAACACCCATTCGAATTCCTTTTGCTGAAATGAAAGTTTATTTATATTTAAATCAATAATTGACCTAGTTGAAATAATAAATTTAAATGTGTATATACATACCAAGTTTGTAGCTTCTTCTCTCTCGCAATCGGTCATATTTTTAGTTTTCTATACCAAAAATGTTTTTAATGTGTTAAATTATATTTGAATCCATTTATTTTATATTAAAAGAAGCTGGCTTACTCAACACATAACACCCATAACACAAGCAATAAATTTTTGACATCTCCAACCGTCCCGTCCCCGTCAACCGTCAGCCGTCAGAGGAATCTGTCACACATCTGTGGGAAAGTCAGAAATTCTTGAATATTACAGATTCCTACAATAACAAACTAGACTTTTAAAGTAATGACGTCAATGTTAATTTTATTTTAGGATATAATAGTAGAGTATAAATAAAGTTTCCCATTATTTAAATAAGTTTTATAATTTCATTTAACTGAATTTAAATAAATATGCCAGTATTTAATTTAATTTTCTAATCCAGCTTTGTTGAAAATGAAGTGATATTGCGAATATATGACTAACCAATTGTAATTTATATTTTAAAAATATAGATAGCGCAACATGTCCAATTTGCAGTGAACGTCAAAATATATAAACAAAAAAGAGGTGTGACAATTTATTTGAAATTAAGAAACATTTTCTATCTAAATTCAATTTATTAATTACATAACTAATTACACAATGTCTCAGAATATTATTTTAACAGGTAAGTGTTGTTTTTATAATTATCTTTTTTTAAGTAATACAATCATATAATTTTAAAATATTTTAATTAATCTAAATTAAAGGGTCAAGTTATTTAAAGTTAATTTCAAATTTATCTTTTAATAGGTAACTTGGACATGCTTCACAGCTTATACGACTTCAAAGCAACATATGCCAAAACTTTAAGCTTTAAATCAAATGAATATTTTTTGCTGCACCAAACTAATACCAAACACAAAAACTGGTGGGAAGTTATCAATGAAAGGGGCGAAATGGGTTACATTCCTTCTAATTATGTAGAAACAGTTACAGTAAACCCCTCATTCTTCATTCAGTTCATAGACAACTGCTTAGAAAGTTTAAAATTACCCTCTGAACTTGGTACTAATGACAAAAGTGATGTAATTTTACGTTTAAAAGAGTTAAAAAAAGAAATAGAACAGCTACCAGAAGTGTCAAAAAATTCCATAGGAGCTGATAGTGATGAAAATCCTCCTTTACTTTTTAAAAACTCAGATGGTAAAATAGAACCTATTAATTCACCATCATCTACTAGTTGCTTCACAAGAAGATCTGTTGATGAGGATCCAATTAAGCCTGTCCAGAAAGGTTTCAGTAAAAGCTCAGTACAGAAATCAATTGAAAATATTCATGAAGAAATTAGATCTGAAATGCTCAATGAATGTAAAAAGTAATAATTTATTTTTACATATTGTCGGCTTACTATGAAAACTTCTCAAGCATATTCTTTGGACTTTGTAGCTTTTTATTATGGCAATCACATTTCTTTTTTTAACACACATTGCCCTGCAAAACCTCACAAGTCTAGCTCGACTTTAAACTCCATCTAGAGCATTGTTGTATTTCAAAATGTCTTATCTTATACTAAGACAAATATAATATTTTTCATGGGTAAAATTAATCTGCTCTGATTTAAGAGGTTTTGATAGTAAGTCGATGAATATTTTGTATACAATTCTTTGGTTGACAGAAATCTTCAATTATTAGATAGATATAGATTTTTATTTAATTAGGATATCCAAATATACATAAAATAAAATAAAAGTACAGACCAAACAAAAAGTTATATAGATACGAAACTAAAATTAATAAAATATGATTAAAATAAGATATAAAAGCTTATTCATTAAATGCAATTTTAATAATTTGAATAAAAACATTCTAAAATTGAGAAAACAACATAAACTACAAGTTTTTGATATGTTCCTTAAGCTGGATTTATAAACAGTTCAGTTCACTCAGTTCGAATTCAACATAAACAAAGCAGAACGTACGCTAATAATTTATTAACTTCATTCGTGCTCAGTTCGAGTTCAGTTGACTCTGAGAGATAATCAACTTTTATGTTCGCCGTTCGCCTAGGAACGCTACAAACATCGATCCAATGAAAAACATGTATCTGGTTATTTGACACACATGTGTCAATGCGATCCTAAAATGACATGGTAAGTTTGTTTTGGAAACGAAATTATAACTGATTTATAATTATTTTATGACCAACACCATCTACAAATATAATTAAAACAATTATTGTCTTGTTAAATCAAATGTCAAAATTCTCAGCCACGAACGAACAGCCAACGACTTTATAAATTGGGTCCTTCCCGAACTCGCCAACGCAAGCGTAGCGTGAACTGAACGCCAACTGAATGTAGTTTATAAATCTAACTTAAATCATGACAATGCTTAAAAAAATTTCTTTTTTGTTATCTTTTATATCTATTTTGTATTTACTGTTTTTCATAATACCTATCCATATATATTTGTCACCTTTACTATATTATTATTGATTTTTTGGATTGCTCTTTAAAAGGATTTATATCTGTTGGGCAATAAAGGCTGTTATTATTATTACCATTATGAATATTTTAAAATTAGAAAGTATGGTACATTTTTTTTATAGATGCAGGTAATTGATTATACTTGTGGAAACATTTAAATAACTGAATTCATTGTGGTTTGATAAACAGTTCTATTGTATGTAGTGATGTAAAGGGGGAACATTCACTTCTTGCTGAGTGGGAATGTTCGCTCATGATAAATCATTCATGCACACATAATAGATCGTTCTTCCGCTCACAAACGATATATCGTGTGTGAACGTTCCCCAGGGAGCACATTCAGCATGAACAGGATTTTCAGCACAAACGAGAAAATTCAGCACGATCCCGGCCAATCGGAGCGCTTCATCCACGTGCATTGCATGACAACATACTGCTGCTGTCATTGTAAACTCCCTTGTTTTATTTTGGTATTTGGTTAGTTAACACATTCAATTCGTTGCCTAAAGGTCAGTGCTTGTGGTTAAGCTATTATCTTTTTTTTTGTGACATTTTATTTTGATCTAAAAATACTATTTAGTGCTGCTGCTGTTTAATATTTAATCTCTTCAGGATGAAATTAACTTTTCCATCTGTTCCAATTTAAGAATTTCCTCTATTTCAATGTGGATCTGGCAGTGTCAGATTCAGAAGTTTAGAAAATATTTAATTTGTTAATTATTTGAGGAAACAACTTGTTCTATTTGAAAGCCACTAATCACAGTGTGATGGAAAAAATACTGATATCATCCAAATCTACTTTTCTCTGACGCTCTTGCCGTTGACCTTTCTATAAGGATTTAGAGGTCCATAAATATTGATATATGCTTTGTGAATTCGACTTTAATCTATTTTGTAAGACAAACAATCATAATTAATCATTAATTATTTATCATGTACAAAGTATTTTATTTCTAATGTTAGATGTGTCATGTAACTATCACATCAAAGTCACTTTCAATGACTAGGCATTAAAATATTTGTAATTGTTCAGCAACTCGGAACTTGCTTGACAATCAGACTAATAGAACATTAACAACAATTCATTAATATATAATTTTCTGTATGGCTATATATTATTTAACATTAGAATCACATCTTTTGCCATATAACTTGTCTATTTAAAAGATATAGAAGTGTGTCAAGTGTGGATAAATAATACAAATGTTTGGTTTTAATAGATAAATCCAAACTTCTGTAAAACGGTTATTTTTCTTAAACAAATAATTACTAAATGAAAATACATTTTTATTTAAGTTCATTTTACATTCAAGACAACAAACAATGGAGAAGAAAAAACAATAAATGTGATTCAGATTTTTCTGTATTACATAATTCATGTAAAATCAACTACCTATTCAATGTGTTTATTTACATATATTTTTAGGACTGATTCTAACGTATCCAGCTCTCTAAGCAGTAACATTTCACCTCCTATAACCCACCAGTCTGTTTATGACTTGGTAGAAAGTGTCAGAATAAATACTCAGTTATCACATGAGATGTCAAGAATAGCAGTTGTTACTGTCGTTCAAGGTTTACATGAATTACTTCCAGCTTCAGTCTTTCCCTATTTGAGTACAATTTTATCACATTCTCAAACATCTTTAGTAGATGATGTACAGATCGACCAAACTCATGATGCTAGTCGACTAAAAATAATTTTTAATGAATTGACTTCTTGCAAAGAAGATGCTCAACAGAGGAGTTGGATGCTACATGAAGATGAAGATGTTATTAAGGAATATATTATCGAGATGATCTCAATATTGGTAAGTTTCATTTTATACTGAAAACGTAATCCCTACATTATTATAATATTTATTATTTCTTTCAAGTCTAATGCAGATGCAAGTATTTCAAGGCATGTTGTATCTACCGACCAATACCATGTAATTACCACATTAATACAGTATTACCAAATGGAAGTAAGATGGTCAATCAGGCAGCTGTTGTTGCAAGCTTTTGGAGTATTGTGCAGCTTAGATAAAACTGTTATCACTATAATGTTGAACTCTATTTTACCGGGTGAATTAGCTAGGTAAAAAATTACTTTAAAATTCATTATCTATAACAAATTTTTTTGTTTTGTGTTTTAGAGATATTATGACAAATCCAAGGAACATTCCAAAATTAAATTATTCTTCTTTACTTTTAACCATGATATTTTCAATGGGTGAACCAATGCCTGTAACACATATTGGTAAGTGCAGGTAGTATGGCGACTTTTTTTAAAGAATGTCACAATCCCCTTAATTTCAGATTTTTTGGGCAAAAGATTCTTATCTTTTATTCTTGACAACATCGAGTATCCTCCTGATACAGATTTGGAAGAACAAATACCAGACTTGTTTTTAAACCTGATTATTTCCTTAAATCTTCAATTTTCTGAAGAAATTGAAAATCCAGTCCTGGCAGCTTTAGAAGAAAGAGATATCGCAAAATCGTTTACAGAGAAAATTTTATTACTCATTAATAGGGAAGGTAATTTGGGATGTGTACTAAATTTGGCACCCTACTAATTAACTTATTTTTAGAGGATCCTGTGAGGATCTTTGACCATGAACCAGCACCGCCACATTCCCTTCTGAAGCTTTTTATTGATTTATTTAGTCGCAGATCAACTTCTGATTTATTTTATACGAATGATGTGAAGGTTCTAATTGATATTATTGTTAGAAATATTTCGGATTTATCAACAGGAGATTCGGTAAGATATATCCAAATTCAGATGGCAAAATATTGTTTAAAAATAAAGATAATGTTAAAAATAACTTTCTCTGTTTGCTGCTATGAAATAGAATTTTTAAATAGATAGGAAAATATTTCAAAAGTGAAAATTATTCAATCATGAAATATTTAGATGGGTAATTAAAAAAAAATATGGATATTAACCCTTTCGAGGCGGCACTTTTCTAATGTTTACCCAAAAACGGGCATTTTAGTATTAGCTGGGAGATTGACGTCGGATATTTCTGACCGAACAAAACAAACGTACATTTTGTGATAACATAATCAAAAGAAACTGAATTTTACATTAAAATATGTATTGCAAAATTAGTACTGAAAAACATGTGTGCATAGTAGATTTCTCGCGTCTATAAGCTTCACTACTGTCTGATATCTTTATCGGGACCGGATTACTCGGATATTCGTCTCTGATCGTTAAAAAAGTAATAACCTTTTATGGAGCTAAAATGAACGGTATTGCAGAAATTTGCTTCTAAACAATACTCTGCATGTACTTAATCACTTGTAAGGACTCAATATTTCTAAATATTTTATAGTTCATGTTTTTGACAAGATCTTGGTAGATCAAATTTAAAAAAAAATATTTAAATTAGTTTTTGTTTTATGTAAATTTGAATTTTGATTTAAAATTTTTAACACCCTGTATCTTGGTAACTAAGCTCTTTAATGGTTATGTTACTATATCAAAATTTATCAATTAACAAGAGCTCGTTCGAATCCCTCCGTTGGCCAGGATTTTTTTATTTAATTTCATTATTTAAAATTAATTCTGATGCCTTGGTAGGATTCCCCACTCGACCATTCACTGTTGGGTTCTAATTAACAGTGCTGTTCCTAAAGTGGCACTAGGAAAAAGTAACAAAGCCTACACAGAACACGAGGCTAATGACCTTAGTTATTGGTGCCAATGACACCAAATTAAAAAAAAGAGCTCTGTGGTAGAGCGTTATCGGTCAAATATACTAACATCTGTCTGACCCGAAACTACCGGGTCATTAGACCAAGAACGGCCGCGGTCTATTTATCTGCCTTTCTAACTCTGTAGTCCCTCTCTTTTTGCCCTATTACTTTTTTGATTAAGTTGTGTAACACGTCCCATTTTCCCTTACATTGTGTCCATGTGTCCAATTAGATTATTCCTTCTCAATCTCTGCCCAAGTCTGATTTCTACCTCCACTCGTTTAATGTGCCATTTTGGACACGCAAATAAAGTATTTTCTGGATGTTTTAGACTACATGCAGGTGTTCCTATCGCATATTTTAAACCACTTCAGGTAGGCCATAAAGCATCCATACCTGGTCAATGCCTTCGTTAGAAAGTAGTATGTCGGTGCTTAAACTGTATCCACGCTCTAATGTCTGGAATAGGGCTCCTCGCCACGTCCTTCACTTTGGACCACTCCTGATGTAACATTTCCAGCGTTCTATGCATATGATGCTTCTTTGCCGTTTCCAGCTGTTCTTTTGCCACTCCATATAACCGTTTCCGCTCGTCCACCAACAAATGAATAGGGATGATTCCCGCCACAACTTGTATGCCTTCTTTATATACTGTCCTCTAGGCCAGAGCTACCCTCAGTGTTGCTTTTATTTGTATACTGTGCAGTAGTTGCCTGTACTAGTGATGGGAAGACCCGGTTCATCTTGACGACCCGGGTCAGACAAGGTCAATCATTTGAATGACCCGTTCACAAAGATTCGTTCATATGAACGATATGATCAGTGAATACGAATTTATACATCGCCTATGATTTGCACAGTACGCGCTGATAGTAAGTCTGTGATGGTAAGACTCTGTCGGCTCTTTTTATGAACCGGATCATAATGGTTACAGTCTCGTCTCATCTCAGTTTATTGTTAAACATTCGTAATTCGTAACAGATATAGATGGATACAGATTTATGATTATGACTATATTATATTATGAAGCCTTGGTACTTTTTACTTCTTTCTCGTTTCAGTGTTTAATCGATCGCGATCACAAATCACTACCACGTCATCACGATCATGGTTCACTACATTACATTTTCAGTCATTCATTATATTCTGTTCAGTCACCAATCAATCGGTGAAAAAACAGCTCTTCAATTCATAAGCACATTAAAAATCTCATAAATAAACAGGGTCATATGAACGATAGGGTCACGAAGAGTGATTGAATCGATCACGGGTCTTCGGGATGATTCGTTCTTTTTGAACGGGTCGTTCATGAACGACACATCGCTAGCCTGTACGCCTTTACTCTTATTGCATCCGCCTATAGTGATGCTCCATACAGTAGGATTAACTGTAATTCTTCTATAAGTACTTCCCTTTTCTGCTTGAAGGTCCACCCAGGTTAGGTATCAGTCTTTGCAGTTGCCTTAAGCCTTCTTTAAAGTAGGAATAGCGCGCGACTCGTCATCAAACGTAAACGTTCAAAGTGAGAGCGACCAGCGATGCGATGCTCTGAAATATCAAGCACGTCGCGCGCCGCTTCTACTCTGAACAAGGCTTAAATCGGTTTTCTGGTTTCCGGACAGTTATTCTAATGTGACCTCCAACGTTACTCCCGTCATCTAGCAGAATACCTAAATATTTTACTACTTTAAAAGGCGCCACTAAGACGCCCTCTATTCTGAAGCTTGTTTCCCTTTCCACTAGTGTCCACGGTGTATCACCGCTTCCGTCTTCTCTAAAATCAATTCTCATTTTCGATCTTTTAGCCAGTATCATATTTCCTACATAGTCCAATTTGCCCGACTGGTTAGATCTTCCGTCATCTGCCCATCATTATGTAATGTGAGTCATTTCCTATCAATCTGGTCATGCTCTGATCCTTAAGGTCCCTCTGCCTTGTTTGGGCCTTTTTAGGACCCACTTGTCCTAAAAATTAGGGATATTTAATGAAGAAGATAAACCTCCTTTACCCAACTATAGCGACACAGATAGCCGTTATGAATCATTCATTCGGGAATGTACTAGAACCCTTTATAGAAGCAAATTCGATAAATTGCCGGAGACGCCTGTCTAATAAATGGCGAGAACAAAAATAATCAGCGCATACACCAATTTATACAGGGTGTTCATTAAAGAATAGGTCAAACTTCAGATGTGGTTAGTTTGGATAAAAATAAGTTCATTTAAACCAATTTTCCTTAGTAGAATTTTGCTTGCTTAAGAAGTTACAGGGTGGAGAAATTAATACTTTTTTTCAATATTTTTACAATAATTCAAATATTTTTTGAGGAAATTACCCAAATTTTGTGAAAGTAAGTTTTTTTGGGTGATACAAACGAATACCAGCTTTTTTGTTGCATTACATGTACAGGGCGTTCCAAACTGGCGTGCCAATCTAGTATGCAGATTTTTTTAAGAATGGACATTTTTGAAAAATGATAAATTATTTTGAAAAGCGTTTAATTTGCTTTAAAAAGGGTATACTTGTTGCATGACGCTAAAATGCATCATTTGAAGGAAAACCTATTTTAAAGTTAGTACTGCAATTGTATGGATTACTCCATAATTTCTCAATTTGATAATGTTAAATCTAGTAGGCAGTTGTCAAATATAGTAGCACTGTCAGGATTAGTCTTACATACAAGCATCAGAGTTTTGAGTAATAAAATTCGTTATTTTTGTACAATGTCGCGACATAACTTTTTCTCAAACGGTGAAATGATCGATATGATATCAGTTTACGCCCAACAAGGTTTTAATGCACGCGCTTCAGCAAGAAGTTACAAAGATTTGTATCCTAATCGTAGACAGCCCAACCGAAAATTGTTTTCATGTCTATTCAGCAGATTAAGAGAAACCGGAAGTTTTCGCCCAAAAAGAGTCAATGGACGACCTATGGTTCGAGATTTACAGCAGGAGGAAGAGGTATTAAATCTTGTTGAAGATGCCCCAGCAACAAGTATCCGTCTCGTATATCTGCCAATGTTGGTTTATGTCAGGGTACTGTGTCTAAAATTTTACATGAACAACAATTATATAACTCCAGTCCAAAATCTACTGCCAGATGATATTTTAGCAAGAACAAATTTTAGTCAGTTTGTCTTAAATAAAAATAGACAAGATCCATTTTTTGTAAATAAAATTCCATTCATTGATGAGGCAACATTTATGAGAAGAAAAATTTTCAACTACAAAAATGCTCACAAATGGGCTGTAGAAAATCCAAACAGCATGAGAGTGCGGCACTTTCAGCATGAATTTAAATTAAACATTTTTTTTTCTATAGTCGAAGATAACCTCATAGGACCTTTTGAACTTCCAGCAAAAATGACTGGAAATAATTACATACATATCCTCGAGTACAACTTATTTGATCTGCTAGATGATGTTCCTTTAAATATTAGAGTTGGTATGTGATATTTACAAGATGGCACCCCTGTCCATTATTCCATAGCAGTACTAAATCATTTAAATAACGTATTTCCCCATCGATGGATTGGACGAGAAAGTGAACATCCATGGCCTGCACGTAGTCCAGATTTTAACCCTCTGGATTTTTATTTGTGGGGTTATATTAAGACTAGTTTATTCTGGCCCTACTGTTAATACTAGAAATGAATTGTGACAAAAAATAGTAATAGCGGCTAATGTTATTCGACAAGACTATTCATTCTTCGCAGTTAGAAAAAATTTCTTGAAAAGATGTAGAAAATGCATTGAAGTAAATGGCGGACATTTTGAACAAATAATTTGAAATTAATTTTTCTCTTTTGCTATTGTTCTTAGTTTGAAATTGTTAAGTTTTTCAATTTGTTATTCTTTATCATTTATGTTCTCATATTTTTGTGTTATTTCAGTATACACTAAATATGTAATAAAGTTCTGAATTAATTTGTTATAATTTATGTATTATCTTTAGATTAAACATTATCAAATTGAGAAATTTTGGAGTAATCCATACATTTGTAGTACTAACTTTAAATTAAGTTTTCCTTCTAATGATGCATTTTAGCGACATTCAAAAAGTATACCTTTTTTAAAACAAATTGTACGCTTTTTCAAAATAATTAATCATTTCTCAAAAATGTCCATTTTTAAAAGAAATCTGAAGTAAATACTAGATTGGCACGCCAGTTTAGAACGCCCTGTACATGTAATGCAACACAAAAGCTGTTATTCGTTTGCATCACTCAAAAAACTTACTTTTACAAAATTTGGATATATTACTCAAAAAAATATTTGAATTATCGTAAAAAATATTAAAAAAAAATATTTTCTCCACCCTGAAACTTCTTAAGCAAGCAAAATTGTACTAAGGTAAATTGGCTTAAATAAACTTATTTTTGTCAAAACTAACCACATCAGAAGTTTAGCCCATTCTTTAATGAACGCCCTATATATAAATAGGCTGTGTTGCACAGGAAGTCAGTCAGTTGAAGTTGAGACATATCCAACATCGATAAAGTAAATGTGTTAAATAAATTAGTGCTTAAATATTAAATTAATTGATTAGTACGAAGTGTAAATAAATTATAAATAAACTGTTTTAATTAAATAAACTTTTATAAATCAAGCAATCTCTACAATATAAACGTAGCTCTTTCGGCTAGGGGTATTTTCCCAGTACCCCATCGTGAAGCACATTCCAAATTATGGGGTTTAGGACCGAGCCCTGTCGGACTCCGGTTGTTACGTTCATTTGCTTACTACATCTGATTTCCTAAATAGCAACCTAAATGAATATCGAGGGGCGAGTGCCTAATGATTCTGTTCAAGATGCTTAACCACTTCTTAATTAATGTTAATGACTATATATATATTTGTAAGAACTAGATTTCAATGTTTTTTCCATTACGGTCCATTTTTGAGAAATCATGTATAGAACAAAAATTATAGAGAATGATATCACAAACAATTTTTATTTTAACAATTTTCTTAGAAGTTCGAATTTTGCATTTTTGGTGAAAATTTTCGAATAACGACCATTTTAAGGAAATCATGTGTAGGAGAAAAATTATAGAGAACAAGCAACTTTTATTTGACGGAATTTTCTTCTCCAATTGTAAGTAATAGATATATTCCATAAAGTAGAAAAACGACCTCCTATAAAGTACCCCCTAGATGTGCCGATTATGCCCAATCGTTGTAACGTATATTGAAAAGTTAATAAATCATAGACGACCCGGGGAAGTATCTGCATGCCGACGCATATTTTTCCCAGATGATGCTGTTCAGTAGTTTATTGAAGAATTGAAAATTTTTCTGTAAACGACGTTGTATTCGAAATCCTATATTTATCTTGACAACTGAGAAGTCAGTGAGTATGTCCCTGATAGCTCAGTTGGTAAAAGTGGTGTGCGTAGAACACGAATTGTGGGTTCGAATCTCACTGAGGACAGAATATTTTGAATTTTTCATTAAATGTGTTTTCACCTGGGGTTTCAAAAATAATTTTTAATATTTTGTAAGAGTAATATTGGGATTTGTTTAGGGATTTCCAAAAAATTTATTATCCTTAATTTTCAGATCTTTAACTGATACGTTTCTGAAACTTTTAAAACCGATTGTCTTACTATCTTGTTTGCGTTGTAACGTATATTGGAATATAGTAACAAAATGGACAGAGGCGGAAGGACTAAACATTAGCCCAAACAAATCTGACATAATTGAATTTACCCGTAGGAGGAAATTGGAGGAACTAGGGCCTCTAAACCTAAGAGGTGCAATCATCCAGCTTAAAGGGGAGGTACAATATCTCGGGGTTATGATTGACTCGAGACTTACCTGGAACCAGCATCTAGACAAAACCACGAGGAGAGCGGAAACCTCGTTAATGATGGCAAGACGATCCTTTGGAAAAAAATGGGGGTTAAAACCAGACATGGTATATTGGCTTTATAACATGGTGGTGAGACTGATAATAACATACGCAGCTTTGGGGTGGTGGTCAAAGACACAGCAAAGGAAAGCAATAACGAGGCTAAGCAAGGTACAAAGACTTGCCTGGAATGGAAGCACTAATAGGACTCCCACCTCTTCACTATGTGATACAAGGGGAGGCAAGATTAGGTGCTTACAGATTAGGGAATACACTGGGAAATCTTGACATTAGGCCAGGTCACATGAGTATCTCAAGGTTAGTGACAGGAGACGTGCTAGACATGAGATCAGACCACATAACCAAGAGGTATTCTTTTAATACTCCATTTGAGGTTTTAATACAGGAAAGAGCGGATATCACCATAAGGGAGCTCAATGCCCAACGACAGGAACAAACCTGGTATACAGACGGGTGTAAGACTGCGGAAGGCACTGGGGCGGAAGTATTCTCCAAAAACCCTGATACTAACCATAGCCATGCTATAGGAATACATTCCTCGGTATTTCAGGCCGAGGTATACGCAATTTTGCAATGTGCAAAAACGAACAATGAAAGAGCTTTTGAAAATCAGCATATTCAAATAACGTCAGACAGGTACAAAGGTGATAGAGTGGGTGTTATGAACTAACATGGGGTAAAACACAATATGCCAATAGGCTTCAGTGTTATTCGGAGACATAGTCAGACGAGCCCAGGAAAAAAACATATATTAAAAACTTAAGACATCACAGACGACCTGGGGAAGTGTCTGCGACATGGCCCGTGTTTATACCAGACTATGCTGTTCAGTAGTTTGTTGAAGAATTGAAAAATTTTCTGTTAACGAGATTGGATTTAAAATCTTATATTCATTTTGACAACTGAGAAGTAAGTGGGTATGTCACTTATAGCTCAGATTGTAAGAGCGGTGTGCGTAGGACACGGATAGATGGGTTCGAATCTCCGCGGGGACAGATTTTTTATTTTTTTTTTATTTAAGTTGTTTTCAGCTTGGGGGTTCAAAAATAATTTTATTATTTCGTAAGGGTAATATTTTGATTTGTTTGGGAATTTCCGCTTAACACAAATTTAAAATGCACCTCTCTTAAAGCATACGTTGCTAATTACTCCTTGACAAAAAATCTTAAAGCATACGTTGCTAATTACTCCTTGACAAAAAACACCAGCGTTACGACAGTGTCTAATGTTCAGAGCGATCGTTGCTATAGTTGCATTGTAAACGCTCTCAACGAGCAGTCACGTGGGTGTCCCAAACTTTCGATTGTTCATCTCTACAAATAACTTGGTTTCTTTCTTACCCAACAGCTGTCCTTCCTGCACACAGTCACACCTGCCACTCTGCATCATTATCTGTTGCATGGAGTATTACGTAAGCGTCCCTTCTCTGCCCCGAATCAAAAACGGATTTTTCAAATCGCCACAACCGCAATGGGGGTCAAATTTTACTTAGTCAAACCAATACCATCAAGTACTTTTAATTTGATTTATTTGAATAATAATTGGGAGTAATTATTAACGCAAACTCATCTGTTTAAAGCCGCCATCTTGATAATACGGTCAAGCAAAAATGGGCAACTGATGTCTTTTTTAAGTCCTGACGAAATACTTTATTTATTTAAAAAAATGAAGGAAGCAAATAAAACACATTTTGCAATGAAGGAGAGTAGGGTCTGGATATTGATTAGCAATCTAATTACGATTTATTAGTTTTTGCATTATCTTTTATGCTAACTACTTTTAATTAAAATAACGTATGGGGTTAAAACTTTCTAATGTCGGATCTTAGACTATAAAGATCTATTCACTTCAAACTTTGATGTAGTATTAGTAAAAACATAAATTTTTTCCAGAGACGAAGACAATACTTAGAACTTTGCCGCCGAGTAATGAGGAACACGAACTATGACGAGCATCGTCACAAAGTGGACGAAATCTTGAAATGTTTCACTAGGATATTTTGCGAGGAAAGCGATTTGAGCAAATACGACCAAAAATTAGTCAAAGAAATATCGAACGAGTTTCCGCATCTCTTTAAGTAAATCAACATTTACTTATCTTGGCTGTTTATTTATATGTGATATTTTTCGACTTTTTGATTTTTTTATATCAAACGTTTGTTCTACGTTGTAGATTGTTTAGTTTTTTAAAAGGTTTATTTGTTGGAAGTCTAGTCTGAGTTATTAAGGATTAATTAGACTGGATTTTCGTGTGATGGCTAAAATATAATACATAGGTCTGTGATTTTATACCTTATTTGTTAATTTACTTCACAGGCAATTTTATAAAACACTAATAATGATGGGTAACTAAACTTATATCGTCCTAATCACTGTGAATAATGTTGATTCATGGATCATACTTTGAAATCATAATTGCAGATGGACAGGAATGAAATAACCGCGACATGTGCCAACGTGAAGCACGACGGAGAGAAGGTTTCATGACGCATTGCCAAAATTTATTAGTATTATGTAGTTTTCTTTGTGGCTCTTTAGAAATGAAATCACATTTAATTTCTATGACTTTGGCCGTCAATTTGTTCCATTATTTAGGAACTGATTGACAAAATTAATCAGATATGTATTCTATTCACTTGGGTTTAAATCTTTATCAAAGTCGATAACAGGTTTATTTCCATCCGCTTCTTCTTTTCGTAAATTTCAAGACAGAATGTGTAAGTAATTTCGCATTTTTTACTGCACAACACTCTCTGTTACTATGTTGTATTAATTAAACTTTTTGTATGCTCAAATCAGTGGCGGCTTGTGATAATACGAGATGGTAGTGCCAGATTTTTAACAAATGTGAAAATCCCGCCGGAGGCCCCCTACCGGAGGCGAAAAATTTTTTGGGGTGCCACGACCAAATTTTTACCCAAAAGTCGTTTAAAACAATAAATGAAGGACGGATACTTTTATATCTATTATATGACTACTATTTATGGGGTTTCTAACACAAGTTTTACCAAGAAACAGGCCGCCAGGGTTAATCTTATCCTAAACTTTGCAAATAAATTACTCAAAACTTATCAAGGAACTCTGTAAAATTAATTAAAAATTATATATTATATTATTAGTTTCCTCGCAACCACACAATTATTTTTATCATAGTTTTATTAAATTTACGACACCGCGATTTTTGCCCACTTCCACTTTGTTTTTTAATTTTTAAATCGGGAATTGGCTGGCCTAATTCTTTAATTTGTAGTTTTTCTTCTAGCGAAAAACCATTAAAAGAGTTTTTAAAACGCCAATTTTATTCATTGTCACAATAAATTAAAAACTAGGAAATAAGATATTTAAACAAGTTTATCGAAAACAAAAAGACATATAGGTATTAAAGTCACTAACACTTCGTAACGTAACGAAAAACTTAAAAGCACGTAAAGAAATTGGGTTAATTCAGTAAACAATCGACATTATCGAGAAACCGCTATCGGCGCTGTGCCTGGCACGAACATTCCTTGATTTTACCATTTAAATACATGTAAAATGCCCCCATCTCTGTTGCTCATATAGGCTGCTGGTAAAATCTCTCTCTCTCCCCTAATGCCAGCTGAGAAATGGCTCCGGTTGCGGCCATAGCTTGGAGATTTATGCAGCGCGAGGTTGCCATATTTCAAATAATTTTTGAATATAAAAAGAAATGCATAAAAGAAAATAAAAGTATGATAAGAAGTTTTAAAAATAAAAAATATATTTTTGCATCAAAAATAAGGCAGTGCCATGGCTCAGTGGCACTACCTCATGAGCCGCCACTGGCTCAAATCTACGGGAAAACAAACCTACAGTATTATCGTTTTACTACTTATACTATTTTGGCATCGTCACAAAGTGCACTACTTTGACTATAATGCTTTAAGATAACCTGGAAGAATCCTTACGAACTGAGCTTCTATTCACTGCAGATATGACCTTGGCGACCTCATCTGTTTCCGCCGATCTGTACTTTGAAAATATCCTTTATGGGTGGCGTTTATTTATTTTTTTAAATTGATTTAATGGGCGTACGCACATAACGCGTTAGTGATATTAAATGTGAACTAGAATGAGGCGTAAAATCGAGGAGTAAACCACTAAGGTCAAAACTTGCCGGTAATTCGGAAATCACCAAAAAATCATTTGATTTCGACGATTTCCCCGAAATCTTCCATACATGTTTACGAGTTCGATGATTTCGGCCAAATCACCCATGGTTCTATGTGAATTTGCTGAATTCCACCTTATTTTTTATGATTTCGCTATTATCGTCACTGTTATCGTAATTTTTCGGGAGAAAAACATAAAATTTTCTTGAAGAATATTCAAAATATCTTTTTTGCTCTTCACTTGTTTTTTTTTTATCCACATGATGTTTTTATGTCAGAACGGCGTCTTCCTAAGAATTTTTAATGTTAACCTCCCGGATAATGATCACCAAAGAAGGATCACTTTGGACATGTTTTCGGTTATGAACGTATAAAAACGCCCGAAAAACTTAACTTTTCGTCCTGCTATTGCTTTACTTCATAATTCATATTTTTAGCTTTTCTACTATCAGTTAAGCTGTCAATTAGCTTCACTACTATTTAAAATTACATCAACAAAGGACTGTAACGCCGAGAAATTAAAAACGAGAGATAAAGGTACACTCCAATTTAAAGGGATTTTTAATAGATTCCATAGGTGATGGCCAGAAATAACAGGAGATGTAACTACTAACAAAAATATCGTGCTGTAGTGAATAAGACATTCTAAGGCCCAGATAGCACAAAGTCGTCTTTAAGACGTCTAGTATATAACATTAGAGACGTCTTTAAGACGTCTGGTATTTCCATAAAGACGTCTTAGAAGACGTCTGATGTTACAAAAGGGGACGTCTTTAAGACGTCTTATTAATGGCTTATATTGGTCTGTAGAGCTTAAAATAAGCCATAAATAAGACGTCTTTAATACTTATTAATAGCTTATAATGGTCTTGTAAAGCCTTAAATAAGCCATAAATAAGACGTCTTTAAGACGACTTAATAGCTTATAATGGTCTTGTAAAGCCTTAAATAAGACGTCTTATTAATAGCTTATAATGGTCTTGTGAAGCTTTAAATAAGCCGTAAATAAGACGTCTTTAAGACGACTTAATAGCTTATAATGGTCTTGTAAAGCCTTAAATAAGACGTCTTATTAATAGCTTATAATGGTCTTGTGAAGCTTTAAATAAGCCATAAATAGGACGTCTTTAAGACGACTTACTAATAGCTTATAATGGTCTTGTAAAGCCTTAAATAAGCCATAAATAAGACGTCTTTAAGACATCATTAATAACTTATAATGGTCTTGTGAAGCTTTAAATAAGACGTCTTTAAGACGACTTATTAATAGCTTATAATAGTCTTGTGAAGCTTTAAATAAGCCATAAATAAGACGTCTTTAAGACGACTTATTAATAGCTTATAATGGTCTCGTGAAGCCATAAATAAGACGTATTTAAGATGTCCTATGAACGGAGGACGTCAAATAGCTTGGTTATTAAAAAGTAGAACAACCTTGCAGGTTATAGAGAATGCAAAAAATAGAATTAAAAATATTTATTGATAAAATATCTATTAATCACAGGTCACTAAGAGTTATTTTCTTTGTAGCGCATTCGATCACTCCTCTTTAGCCATAACTGGATCGATTTTTCTCTTTCTCTTTGATTTGTAGTTGCCTTTGTATAGCTCCTAAAAATAAATTTAGTTAAAAGCATCTAGTCACAGAAAATTATACTTTGCAAAAGTTAGTAAAAACCGAAAGAACAGGTATCTATAAAACAAAACAAAAAATTAATTTCTTAGAATTTTAAATCCAATAATTTTTATAATCATTTAATGCAATATGAGCTATTATGCTTAATCGCCTACTTTAACAATTTTACTTTAACTTCACTCAAAATGGCTATCTAATAGGGGGTTTTTGATATTAATAGTTCTCAAAATCTCCATAAAAACAAACAAAACTGATAATTGGCGAATATCTGAATTAAATCTTATATTAAGATGTTTACTTTTAAATTAATTTAATTATTCTTACTTAGAAGAAACAGGATATTAATGTTCTATGTATATAAACAAATATTCCTTTATTACCTGTATTCCAGGAACGTGCTACATCGGTAACAGAAATTATTCTTCCCTCTCTGGCTTTTGTCCCATATTATTTAAGTAGATACAAATGCTCAAAATAGCCCAAAGACGCTTTTGCTGGCTATAATCGCATACGCAATAAAATAATCAATAATCCACAATGAGCTTGGGCCATACAAATTTTTGGCTTGGGCTTGGATGTACTTCTTCTTTTCTTCGTTTTATATGGTTTCAATCTTTGAGGATTATTTACCCAGCACTATTTATTTTTTCAAATTTAGCTTAGTGAAAAGGCTGCACCCTCCTGCGTCAGACTTCTGTCTTCACTTTTCCACTGCACTTGATATTTAATTTCAATATTCTTCTCCAAATATTACACTGAATATTTTGTTTAATTTTGTATACTTTTTAAAGTCGGATGGTCACTTTTATACTAGATATTTTGTGATGTTTATGGGACTTCTGGGCTCCCGATTGGGAGACCACCATTCTAATGTTGCCACGACGGTGTCCGAATCGGAAGTCCGGCTTGTATGTAATGTTAAGTCAAACTTCACTTTATTTGATTCTTCTTGTTACATTTAAATTATGTAAACAGTGAAAGTTTCCGTCCGACTGAAAGACGTTTGTCAGACGTCTTAAAGACGTCTTTGAGCGTTCACATTTATATAGGGATTTGGCAAGATGTCTTTAAGACGTCTCAAGAACGTCTTTGAGCTCTTACATTAATAAGTCTGAATTATGGCTTTTGTAAGACACAAAAAGACGTCTTTCAGACGTCGTGTGCTATCTGGGGGGACACAGGAGGATATAATATCCGCTGTTGCCTATTTTATTCTCCTTTTGTTTACAAAATTATTTGCATATCTTAAAAGAGCTAAAATTCAATCTATTTTATTGCAACTAAATCCAAAAAATTGAATAATTAGTTATATAAAATTTAACTAAATTAGATGTAATTTTACTAAATTAGATGTAATAATTATCAATAAATTCCTAAACCTAGTTAATGTTAAGTTGAACGTGGCAACAAGGCTTACACGGCTTGCATTTTTACGTTGTTTATTATAAGCTCACAAGTGCTTACACCTGGCTTACATATTTATATTCAGTTATAAAAAAAATGTATCGCCTTAAAACTTATATTTTATCAATGAATAGCCACATCTCCTGTTATAGCTGGTGATGGCTGATTGTTTTTGACATTTGCAGTGTATAAAATGCACTTGCAGGTTGGCAGTTATAGTTATAAGAAAGTTTATAATACACTTAACTTATTATCATTAGAAAACCGTAGAATATTTATGGAAATGACTTTGTTATTCAAACTGTTGTCAGAGTATATTTGTTGCCCAGAACTTCTGTCCCTTTTCTCACCTAGGATTCAGAATAGGACCACTAGTAACCACAGTTTGTTGGCTCTCTCGCTTATCAAGAACAGTCAATGCTTGATAAACAGTGCATTGATTTTATTCATAATACTATAAAAAAGTTATGATATTACGCAGACTGATATACTACGTCACGATGTTGTATTGTGGTGAAAGGCAGTAGCGGTGGGAGGCGCCAATTGGCTTGAGGGTGGGAATTATAGAAAATTTTCAATTTTTTCATTAACATAGAAAAAATACCACACTGCACACTGCGCCTTGTCAATAAACAAAATTAAATATATTTCTTATAGGTAGTAAAACATCTTACAAAAATAATTATTCTAAAAAAAAAACAAACATGAAAATCGACATACGTATTTATATTGTTTTTAATTTTTCTTTTTACGGAAGTTCATGGCATGACTCACATCCTGAAATTGAAATCTACTCTACGATCCCTCATAAGGTTTGTTCGGGTTTCTTTAAAATTTGGTGCAGACCGTC